CCACTATGAACTCAAGCCAAATTGTTTCCATTTGGTCCATACCTTTTGTTCTTCAGGATCTTGATCACCACTGAGCCTGGCAAAAAAGTAACAACAAGGTTAATGTTAAGAATATCCGACTGAGTATGATGGTGCATACCTGTAATCCCAGTGGTTTGGGCGGCTGAGGCAGGAGGTTCACGAGTTCAAAGCCAGCCTCAGCAAAAGTGAGAAACACTAAGCAAGTCAGTGAGACCCTGTCTCTAAATAAAATACAAAATAGGGCTGGGGAGGTGGCTCAGTGGTCAATGCCACTGAGTTCAATCCCAGGAGAAATAATAATAATAATAATGATAATCCAGCTTTGTTGTTTAAAGAGTGGCCTGTATTGTGGCTATCTACTAGCTGTCTTTGATGAATAGATAAAATACAAAGCTATGGTCTCCAAATTCCTGACAATTCCAAAGATTTTATGTTCCTTATACTCTGGGAATCAATTTCACTTTAGCAGTTGCCATCTTTTCAACTTTATCTCTTTGTTACATTAGCACACAATAGTATTAAGTTAAGAAAACAAACACTACTTGGATACAGTATTCTCCTAAAAAACTGAAACAAACTTTTCACAACAGATTTAAAATAAAAAGAAACATGAAACTTGTTTACCGTGAGGCTGAGAGCCCAGGGTTGAGAAGTTTCTAGTCCTGGGCACTTGCTCCATTTCTATAATCCTTAAATAGACACTGGCTCAGGGCTGCTTCTTTGACATGCCAGGCTCTCAGCCTGCATCAAACTGAATGTTAACCTAGTTTGGTTCAACAGGAATCCTCAACACCTAAATCAATGGTAAAACAAAAAATACCCATTGGAGGTTCCTGTGTCACTGGGCTATTTGACAATCTGTTCGTTGCTTGGGTCTAGATTTGTGGCTGAACAAAAGGTGCCTAGAACACAGGTTACATCACTGCCCTTCTTTCCTCTTTCAAACCAGTAAAATTGATGTCCCATTCAGCTTCCTCGTATTGAAAGGGTAGTAAGAGAGCTGAGGAACACATGTCAAACACAAGACTTATAAGACTAATAAGTCTTATAAGACTACTGCCATAATGTGCTATCTTGCCACATACCCCAAACAACAGAGCCAGTCTATCAAGAACTAGAACCTCCAAAACTGAGCCAAAATAATTCCACTCTTTATAAATTAGTTGGTGTGTGTGTAATACTAATGAAAAGCTGACTAAAATAAAAAGCGATTATTCTAATTTTGCACCAGGCATACATGAGAGTGTCAGTTACCCTATATATATATATATTTTTTCATTACTTAGTGTTGTCAGTAGATTATTTTTAGCAGTATACACAAGTAGTTTCTCATTATTCAAAATATTCTCTGGAAAAGTTTACAAAATGCTGTTGATATTCCTTGAATTGCACTCATTAAATAAACACAATTAATTGAATATTAATACCTCAATAAAGATGTCATATGCATTGAAAAACAAAAACAAAAGATTACTAAGTGGTTCCTATTACAGACACAATGAGTCTTTCATTCACTTGTCTAAATTTAGATCTTTATAGTTTTTGACAAATTCAGAAAATATCCTTTTGTACAGCAGTTTAGCGCCCTAGAGTGCATTACATTTAGAATTGTCAGGATGCTTAAAAACAAACAAACAAACACACAAGCCCCAAGGCTTGGAAATTCTTCCTTCAGACAAACTTTCTCAAGGGCAGCTTTGTATGCTTCTTACATCTTGGGGACAGAAGTTAGGTGTCTAACCCCTTGTCCAAGCACATCCCCTCTCCACCCTCCACCCTCCATAGGACCAAGCAAGACAGGCCTGGCCCCCAGCACATTTTGCAAGGGACCCTGTGCAGCACACCAGCCTCTACAGGTGGATCTGGGGGAGAAAATTGTGGGATCCCTCAGGAAACCTCCCAGCTCTCTGCTTGACTCACTGCAGTCATCGGCTACCGGAAGATTCACTCAAACCTTTTTAAAAATACAAACAACTCAGCAAAGTGGCAACTGGAAAGCATTTGTGGCGGGAAAGTGGCAATGTGGGCGAAATTACCTCCGCTTGTTGCTAGCACTGGAATTATACTGTTCTGCTCGGAAACTTAAAGCGCTTCAGACCTCAGATCTCATCGATTTCCTAAGTAGGCTATGTCGCGGTCCCCAACTACCGGGCAGGCGGGAGCCCCAGGGGCGCTTAAAACCCGGAGGGGGTCCCTGGATCTGCGCCTCGGTCTTGGTTAAGTCCAATTGTTGGACTTCTGCACCTACAGGGGCCCCGCCCTTGGCGCCGAGCTGAGGCCGAACCCCTGTCCCGGGCTCGGGAAAGGGCCACCCGCCGGCGAGACCCTCAGCCACGTGGCGGGCTCCCACGCTTGGCGGGTCGGTACACACTTACCGAGCAGCGTGCTGCGACCGAAAAGAGAGGGCGCCTGGGAGATCAAGTTTAAAAGGGCCCTGGGCCGTTCGCATCCGCGCAGCAGCCAACCAAAAAGTTGCCAAAGCGCCCCTCCCGCCCCGGGACCCCGCCTGGCCAGCGTGGCCCTAGGCCCTCGCGCGCCCCCTGCCGGCCTGCGGGGAGCGGAAACCCAAGTGGCCGGGAAGCGGCCCGGCCCTGTCCAGGTCTCCCGGGTCCGGGCTCCTGGTCTCTCCGCCCCGGACCCCTGAGTCTGCAGAGTCTGCGAGTTCGGGGACATTTGCCCCAGACACTTCACTGGCTGGGACGTCCCCTTACCTGGTTGAAAGTTAGAGGAAGCTCTGGCACTCAATGTTGGTATCTCTGCCTGCTCCTCCCTTCGTTCTTCTTAAAGTCTTCAGCCACACCCATTTGGGCTTAAGACTCTTGCCTAATCCTGTAACAGAAGTTTGGCTTCCGTTAGAGGAACTATGAAATCAGGTGGGGGTGGGGTCTCTCTAGGCGAGGAGTGGGGCAGTTGAAGACTCCAAGTGCCTAGAAAACTCACAAACGGTTTATAATGATGACCAAGGTCTAACTATCTTGCCCCTACAGCACCTCTGGCTGTCCGGATTGGAGGAGCAGCGGTGTGTTTTGAATGAAGAAAATTAAACAGTTCCATTGTCTGGCTGCCTAGGTAACAGAATATGAGCGTCGTGGACTGAATTTTGTGCCTCCTCTCCAAAAAATATGTTGGAGTCCTAACCTCCAGCACCCGTGAGTTTGGAAATGTGAATGTGATCTTATTTGGAAATGTCTTTGCAGATGCAATCAAGTCAAGATGAGGTCATTGGGGTGGACTCTTCTAATGCAACAGGGCTGGGTCCTTATAACAAGAGAAAAATGCACGTGAAGACAAACATACAGGGGAATATGTGAGGACAGAGGCAAAGATCTGAGTGATGCTGCAGTAGACCAAGGAATGCCTCAGTATTGTCAGCCACCACTGGAAACTGGGAAGAGACAAGGACGGATTCTCCCCCAACAGATTTCAGAGGGAGCCTGGTCTGGGCTGACACCTTGATTTTGGACTTAGAGCCACCCAAATGAAGGTAACATATTTCTGTGCTTCCAAGTCACCAGGTACTTTTTTAAGACAGCCTAGGAAAATAACACAATGACTGGGAGTGGGAGGTATGGGGTAGTAAGAAAGGAGCCAGCTGTGTCTTCCAGGAGTTAAGATTGACATCTCCTATAAGCCCTGTTCAGAGGAGCTTGTTTCCCATGTTTACCATGGAAGGCACTTGCTGGCACTTAATAAGCTCTCCATAGATAACTGCTAAATTAGTGATTGTCTTCATGCCTTGCAGTGCAGCAGGCAGTGGGAATATAAAGGTGAACACATAGTCATGCTTTCCCTGTATGTAGGGACTCTTTCTCTGGACATTTGTAAACCTGAGAGAGATGAATCTGCACAATCAAAGCTTCATGCCCATGTCACCCAAAGGGCTTACCTTTTATGCCAAAGTAGAAATTCACTGGAAGGAAAGCCAAGTGGAGAGGTTAGGAGTGGGAGGCAGGAGGTCTATGATAGCAGTCCTAGAAACCAAGTGTCCATCTCCTTCTTCAGGGTGGTCTGCAAGGCACCACTGGACAGCATCCCTAGCACCAACTACTCTTACATGTTCTTTTACCCTTACTCTGTCCCTGGAATTTTGAGATTTGAGGTTTTCTAAGGACTGCAGCACTTGAGATCATTTTGGGCAGAAGGATTGCCCAGGGCAATGAATATTTGAATGCCTTTTGTGTGCCAGGTACTGTGATTGGTGTTGGTACTGTAAAGTTTGGTGAGAAACTGCCCCTGCCCTGAAGTGAGGATTTACATGTTAGTAGAAGCTTGAGCACCGTCCTGAGGGAACAGGATCAGCCACTGAGCCCAGCCTGCAAAGGATGGGAGGAGGCTTCCTGAAAGAGAGGGTTCCTAAGCTGAGTCTAGCATTTCATGCAGAAAGCTAGGAGTATATCACACTTAGGAGAACAAAGAATCAAAGCAGCCAAAAGTTAAAGAAAAATTTAGAATAGTAGAATAGAAAGGACTTTAATTATCCAGGATTTTCTCTGATGAAGTAGACTTAACCTTAGGGTGTTCTCCAAAAGCAGAGTTATCATGAGTGTATGTATAAAGTGAGCTCCATGAGAACTCTATTTCCTTCTCTACTGAATCCCAAGAAGATAGAGTAGTGTCTAGAATATATTTGAATAAAGGAGATAACTCCAGGGGAAAAATTGCATTTATTCCCCAAATTAGTTAAATATTCATACCTAAGATTCTTTAGTGTTCAAAATGGGACTTACCCCAGCTGTAGCTTCCTGGGGTCACCTAGAGTATGAATGTATCTCCATATTCCCAGAACTTGGCCTGGATCTTGGTGCATGGTAAAGGATCAGTAAAAGTTTTATTTTACTTTTTTTTTTTTTTTTCTCATTTTGGGGACCAAACCTAGGGTTTTGTGCATGTCAGGCAAGTGCTATACCACTGCATCCTACCTCCAACTTTTGAATTTCTTTACTTGGTGCAGGTTTGGCCTGCCTTTCACACATGGGATGATCTACTGAGGGTAGGCATTCCAGGCTGTTGGGTGGGGTTTGGCACTTCTCTGGCTAGCTTTGCTGCTAGTGCAGGGGAAGCTCTTTTCCTCCAGCCTAGATTTGTCTATGGAGGAACTTCTGCCAGATAATGTCCTGGCCTCTTGCACATCCTTTCCTCCTTTTCCAGAGGAGGAAAGAATTTCAATAAAATTCTGTGTTAATATGAATGTCAACAGCATGCAAACTGAGGCACTCCTGTTGGCCTCTATCCCCTGCCCACCCTGTTCTTAATGGAAACTGCTAAGATTCCACTCTGATGGGGGGGGGGGGGGGGGAGAAACAGGAGGTATTAGAGAGAAACAGAAGCCATTAGGAGCTACCTGTTTCAGTGTGCAGCCAACTGGGCACATTAATAAATGTCATCACCTTAAACTTTTGTGCTTTTTAGATAGTCCAAACTGAATGAAAATTAGTTTTCTTGTTAACTTTGCAATAACATAATCTTGCATTTTTAGTCAATTTAAGATTTTGGCCCTTGCTCATCTTATGGCAGGTGACCTAAACTGGCTCATCTTTCTCAAAGAAGAGCAAATCTATCCAAAAGCTGTGAGGATGCCCCCCACTTTTCCCTCACTTCTCAGGGCCAGTGTGAGGCAGGGGATATCCAAGGTCCACACTGGGATGGGAAATGGGACTAGCTCAGTTCTGAAGACACAATCTGAACAGCAATAAAGCTGACACTTCAGTTTCCATTCTGTTTTATGTCTGAGTTGGTACTGAATGTTGGAGGAGAGGAAAATATTATTCTTCATTCTCCTCAAATCCTACAGTCACTTGATCCTTATCTCCATGAGGATCTGAGATTAGGGAATTTGCTTTCATGAATTAGTGAGCTCAGCCATCTCTTCTTGTGTCTATGTTTAGTGCATATTTTAGTATGTAGTTGCAGTGTAGGGTCAGAATATAAAGCAACTGGAGACATTATTTATGGTGTAAGGGGTCCCTCCAGTTGGAGGTTAGCATTTTAATTGGAATCACTGGGCTAGTTGCCATGTGCAGGTCTCTCTGCCCAGCAGTTTGCATGTTCCAAGCAGCTGTAGGCTTGTTTTCAAGACAAGAAAGAATGTCTGCCCTCACTGAAGCATATTGCTTCATCTGCCTAAGTAAGCCCGTGTGGCTCATCTCAGCAGTTAGAGGATATACAGGTGAGCACCCTGGAAGCCCTGGAAGATGAATACTCTTGTTTCTGATCCCCACATGGGTACCAAATAGTGTTTTGTTTTTTAAATCCCCTCAAGTTTATTATTTACAAACTTATTTTCGCAATACTTCTAGGAAATGCATGAATAAAGTATAAAAAAGAACGAAGTTATGTATTTAATATATCAAATATATGACCTTTATTGATGAAGATGATCTGGTTTGTTGTTTTAGTCAGCTTTTTCACTTCTGTGACTAAAAGATCCAACCAGAACAATTGTAAAAGAGAAAAGTTATTTGAGGGCACATAGTTTCGGAGGTCTCAATCATAGACAGCAGACTCGATTCTTTGGGGCTCAAGGTACAGCTGAACATTTTGGTGAAAGAGCGTGGCAGAGGGAAGGAAGCAGCTCACAAGGTGATATGAGAGAGATTCCACTTGCCAGATACAAATATATAACCCAAGCTGTGCCCCCGTAAACCACTTCCTCCAACCACATACCTCCTCTGCCTCCAGTTACTACCCAGTTAATCCCATCAGGGATTAATTCACTAATTAGGTTAAGGCTATAACCCAATAATTTCTTCTCTAAACCTTGCATTGTCTCACAGATGAGTTTTTGGGGGATACCACATCTAAACCATAACATTTTTGTAAAACAAATTTTAAAGAAATTTAACTCTATATCCTTCAGCAACTAATCCCTCTTTTCCTCCCCTGGAGTGTTAGTCAACTTTTTGTCTCTGTGACCAAAATAACCGATGAGAGCCTTAGAGAAGGAAAAGTTTGTTTTGACTCCTGGTTCCAGAGGTTTAGTCCCTGGTCAGTTGACTCCATAGCTCTGGGCCTGAGATAAGGTGGAAGGACATGGGGAGGAAAGCAATTAGCTCATGTTATCAGGAAACAGAGAGAGCATGAACAGCCAGGGGCAAGATATATATTCCCCAAGGGCACACCCCCTGTGACTGCTTTCTCCAGCCATGCTTCACCTGGAGGAAATAATCCATCGGATTATCAATCCATCAAATGGGTCACTCCACTAATGAAGTCATAGTTCTCATGATCATTTCACCTCTAACATTCCTGCATTATTTAACATGAGATTTTTGGTGAACATCTTATATCCAAACTATAACCCTTGAAAATGTGGGCTGGGCAGCAGAAGGGTTGAGATGACATATGAAAAGAAGCTAAGTATCATATATCATTAGAGAAATGCAAATTAAAATAACATACCACCGTGCACTAATTGGAATGGCTCAACTACCAACCACTGACAACTCCAAATGTTGGTGAGAGTATGGAGTAACATGGGACTCTTGTTCATGGCTGGTGGGAAAGCAATTTGGAATATTTGGAAGACAGTTTGGTAGTTTTTTACAAAACTAATTTATTTTACCATAAAATCTAGCAGTAATGCTCCTTGGTATTTACCCAAGGGAGTTGAAAACTTATATTCACATGAAAACCTTAATTCATAATTGCCAAACTGAGGAATAACTAAGTTTTTCTTTAGTAGGTAAATGGATAAACTATGGCACATTTAGACCATGGAATGTTATTCAGAACCAAACAGAAATGAGCTATCAGGTCACACAAGGACATGCAGGAACCTTAAAGGCATATTACTAAGTGGAGGAACTCAATATAAAAAGGTTATATACTGTATGATTCCAACTATATGACATTTAGAAAAGGTAACACTGGAGACAGTGAGAAGATCGGTGGTTGCCAGGGGTTGGGGATAGAGGAGAGGAATGAATAGATGGGACAGGGGACTTTTTAGAATAGTGAGACTAGAAATAATGCATGATAGGCATTTCTAGATGCTGAGCCACCACATACTTAGAATGCCATATGGAATCCAGAGCCATACTTCCCACATGGTCCCCTGGCTAGTAGGTCCCTCAGATGACAGCTATACCCAAGCCAGCACCAGTGGCTCATCCCCACCACCTGCAGTTGGTTCACCTGCTGCTGCACCCTGGCAGCTGGGTCTGATAGCTCAGATGGCAACCCCTGCCGCTGGTGTGGCTGTGGGCTCTGTGGTGTGGCACACACTGGGCCATTACATCACTGGGGCTTCAGTGGAGGAAATAATGCTGACATCACTTACTGGGAGCCTCAGGGAACCCAGCCAGAACAGCAGCAGCAACCTAGTGGGCCTCGCTTTTAGGAGAGAAAACAATTTTTGGAGTGTACCCAGAACCAGGGTGAGGTTAAGCTCTGTGAGGGTTTCAATGAGGAGCCGGCACAGTGCAGAAATGCAAATGGATTAGTCTAATCTAGAAGTTCAAATTGAAGAAGTAGAAAATCAGCTCT